CTTCAACCCAAACTACTACTGCGTAATTCATGTTGTTTCGAAAACTCTGACAGTTGTTGAGGTTTTCCCGGCCTCTCTTTTGGTGTGCATTATCAAATGAGCTGAGTTTTCTTGTAAAAAAAAACACACACACAAAAAAAAAAACTCTAACAGCAGAGCCTCTTGAGAACTCTCACAGGAGTCGTTGTAATTCCGAAAAACAACAGATTCGCTTCTTGCTTCAAAAGTAGCCCTGAAGTTTCGCCGAAAGCTTTTTTCAAGTTTTGAGTACATAAAACAAAACCCACAAAACTAAAAGCAATTAGAATATCTTCATTACAAAGTAAAATTTGTTTTGAACTTAGCACACTGTTAGACTGCTGGATGCAGCCAGGTTCACTGCACTGCACAGTTTACCTGGCTGTGCTTCCCTGTGGGATACTGAATTGTATGGTGCAGCGAACATGGCTGCGTCCATCGGACTCGTCTAATTCATAACCCCACAGCAAGAAGGAGACCGGATGCTCTGCCCTGAGTGCCCTCCGTTTTCTCTTTTTCTTTTTCCCCTTAAACCACCAGTACATCCGAAAAAGCAGAATGAGCCTCTCCTAAAAATTCGGAGGCCATGGAGTCATGGACCGTTGATAAAATGAATCGGCGGTTCATGGCCTCCTATTTTTCAGGAGAGGCTCAATCTCCTTTTTGAGGTGTACTGGTGGCTTAAAGTTTAAACTTTAAACCACCATTACCTCCAAGCCTCTTTCTGCTGAGGCGGAAAAGAACTGCGCGCCAAGCTTTGATGAAGCACCAGCGCGACTTTTGTTTTTCCTTTTGGCTGGCACCACCAGCCTTTTTGGTCCGGTAGCACTGTTCACCCTTAGAATTGGGAATGATTCATTTTGGTTGTTTCGAGTTTGCCCGTGAAAGGTAGTGGTGGTTCAAGCACCTTCATGAGATAGCCTCAATCATCCCCCTGAAGTGACCGACGTTCAGCAATCAGTGTTCCCACATATTGATTCCACTTCCAAGGAACCCAACGACGAGACAACTTTCATTTTTTCCAGCAGCGAGAGACACCAAAGCAGAATGAGCATACAAGAGCAAAGTCGAAAGCAGGTGGGTTTACAAAAGCCAAAATCACAACATTGAGGACACACATGCACTGAACTCTCTTGATATGGAAAGCCCAATCTCAAGCATCCAATTATCAATACAACAACATCTGCATCCGGCGGAGTTTGAACTCTGGTCTGTATTTCAACAGTTCAGGGGGGATGTACCGACTGAGCAACAGTTTGCGGCTCTTCTATATTGTGACCGACCGCTTACACTACTTCCCTACTTCACATAATATCCTACTTCCGCTCTATCTCGCACTTCTCATCCGCTCATCTTCTTGCTCCCGACGATGAATCAGAGTGTGCCGACATCATGCGTGCTCATCGCCCATCACCAGGTACTGTCCCGAGCCTCTGGAATTTAAACAAAAAGAGGCTTAATCATGATTCTATAACTTGGCTGGGGCCATGTACTGGTGGTTTAAACCACCAGCATTGGCCCAGCTATCGGCCGCGGGCGTTTCACGTTAACACACCGAGCGGGCTTCGGAGTACCGTACCACAATGGCTGGGAGCGCCAGCCAAAAGGAAAACGAAACGGCGCCCCGGCGGCTCGGCAAAACTTGGCGCGCCGGGGGTATCCTGGCTCGGCATCGATAGCTGGCCCAAGTACTGGTTGTTTAAGCATGTGAATCTTGGGGGTGGGGGACATTTAGGACCAGGAGAGGAAGGACTGGATCATAGAAGAACAACTTAGTCCCACTTCTCATCAACGTCCTCTCTTGACATTGTCCTCTGAGTACCTGCACGCCCCCCTCACATTCAGCGCAGCTATGGCTGCCACTGGTAGAGCTGCGGTACCACTGCAGCTCTCCAGTTCTGTCGTCACCGCACCGGGCCCAGCCAGCATTCTGTTGCGCTATCCTTGGCGCACATCGCCAGCAATCCCCCAAAGTACACAAGTGTCCCTCAGCAACCGCCTCCAATGCATTTGCCAATCATAGGAGGTCGCGTATCGCATACCAAGGTGGTACAGACCAGAACCAAGAACCGACCTCTCTCAGATAGAGCAAGATAGCACAGCGGAAGACTGGAATACCAATGATCAGACCCAATCAATGTCGAAATGCAGACTGGACGTACATCATCATCATCGTACAGCGTGAATACCAATGATCAGACCCAATCAATGTCGAAATGCAGACTGGACATACATCATCATCATCGTACAGTGTGAATGGCCTGGCGCCGCACACAGGGACAAAGGCGGCACAACTCATACACAAATGAGGCGGAGGGGGAAGGGATGAGAATGTCGTCAACCCAAATGTTGCCGATATCAATCCCGAATAGTCCCCCACCAATGTCTCTGTCCAATGTCGAGTCTGAATCCCAATGTCGCAAATCTCTCTCTCTCTCTCTCTCTCTCTCTCTCTCTCTCTCTCTCTCTCTCTCTCTCTCTC